TCACCATTCCACCAGAACTGCTCTTGCTAAGGTTGTCAATGACCTCTCGACATTGTGGGTTTAGTGTACTCAACCCAGGGTATTGGACACGATTCACCTTGCTCTCTCTCTGTTTTTACTCTTTTTTCCCTGCCTTTTTTCTTCTTCATAAATAGCTCTTTCTTTGGCCTGCTGATCTTTGTGTCTTTACAGTTCTTCATAGTTTCCTTTGAACAGCTCAATTAAACCTAAAGAAACAGCTATCAGATTTATCTCTCTCATTAGATCTCCCTGTAACTAGTCAACTCCATCTGAATGTCCCATAGGCTCTTCAAACTCAGCTCCTCAAATTCAACTAATCATCCCTCCTCTTGTTGTTTTTAGCTCAATGCATGCATTCCCAAATCTTATTCTGGAATTTGGGACTCATACTGGAATCCTGATTCTTCTTTATTTCCCGTATCCAGTTAGTCAGAAAGTTGTACGGATTCTTTTCCCTTATTAATTCTCAGAATTCATGTCAAAATACATCTCAACTGTTATTTTGAGGTAATTTTTGTGTGTGGTATAAGATATGGTCCAGGGCACCTGGATGGCTCAGTCGGTTTAGAATTTGCGTTAGGCTCAGGTCATGATCTCAGGGTCTTAGGACTGAGTCCTCTGTTGGGCTCCCTCCTCAGCAGGGAGTCTGTGTCTGCCTCTCCTTCTGCTCCTCCCCTGCCCTGCTCATGTTATCTCTCTCTCTCTCTCTCAAATAAATAAATAAATTCTCTAAAAAAAATTTTAGGGGCGCCTGGTTGGCTCTGTCATTGATTGTTTGCCTTCGGCTCAGATCATGATCCCAGGGTCCTGGATCGAGCCCTGTGTCAGGCCCCCTGCTCCGTGGGGAGCCTTCTTCTCCCTCTCCTACTCCCCCTGCTTGTGTTCCCTCTCTCTCTATCAAATAAATAAATTTTAAAAAATCTTAAAAAAAAAGAAATTTAAAAGATACTGGTCCAGCTTCGTTCCATTGCATGTGGCTGACCAGTTTTCCCAACACCATTTATTGTAGAGACTATTCTTTTCCCATTGTGTATTCTTGCTTCCTTTGTTGTAAGTTAATTGACCGGATATGCATGCCTTTATTTTTGAAGTCTCTGTCTTGTTTCATTGACCTATGTGTCTATTTTTATGTCAATGTCATATTGTTTAGATTACTATAACTTTGTAATATAGTTTGAAATCTAGGAATGTATTGACTCGAGCTTTGTTCTTCTTTATCAATTTTGCTTTGGTTGTTCAGGACCTTTTGTAGTTCCACACAAATTGTAGTATTGTTTGTTCCATTTCTGTGAAAAATGTTATTGGAATTTTGTTAGAGATTGCATTGAATCTGTAGATTGCTTTTGGTAATATGGATATCAGAAAAATGGTGACTTTTCCTATCTTTGATCATGGAATATCTTTCCATTTATTTGTGTCTTTTTTAATTTCTTTAATTAGTGTCCTATATTTTTCAGCATATAGGATCTTACCCACTTTGATTAAATTCATTCCTTGGTATTTTATTATTTTTGATGCAATTGTAAATGGGATTTTGGGGATAAGTGGGATGAGATGTTTTCTTAATTTCTTTTTCTGATAATTCATTGTTAATATATAAGTATGCAACAGATTTTTGTACATTGATTTTATACCTTGTAACTTTATTGAATTTATTAGTTCTGGGTTTTTTGGTGGAGTCTAAAATCGTGTCATCAGCCAATAGTTACAGTTTTACTTCTTTCTTTCCAGTATGGCTACCTTTTATCTTTTCCCTGCCTAATTGCTCTGGCTAAGACTTCCATTTCTATGTTGAATAAAAGTGGTGAGACTGGGCATCCTTATATTGCTCCGGATCTGAAAGTAAAAGCTTTCATCTCTTCACCATTGAGTATAACAATAGCTGTTGTCTTGACTTATAGGCTTTAATTATGTTGACGTACATTCCTTCCATACCACCTCTGTTGAGAGTTTTTATCTGTTTTCTTTATCATTTTCTTTTTGCTAATTAGTGTGTTTTCTTTTCAGGTTAAAGCAGTCTCACCTGCTAGATGGATCTGGCAGTGGCTGCAGAAGTGGCACGTGGTGGGGGGGCAGGTCACTCACCCACTGAGTCTGGCTGTGGCCATGGAAGTGGTATGGAAGGGTGGGTTATTGTAGTGTCTTAAGGTAGGAATTTATAGACTTAAGAACTTTCTTCTTTACTAAAACATGTATTTAGTGGTATAAATTTCCCTCTCAGCACTGTTTTTAGTTGCATCTCATATACTGTACTATGTTGCATTGATATTTTCATTTAGTTCTAATTATTTTTTATTTCCTTTGGATTTCTAATTTGACCCATTGATTATTAAGTGTGTTATGTACTTCCCAAGTGTTTTGAGATTTTCCTGTTGTCTTTCTGTTGTTTTCTGGTTTGACTACATTCTTGTCAGGTAATACACTGTGTATGATTTCAGTTCTTTTATAGTGGATGAGATATTTCTTACATTCCAGGAGATGTTCTCTATTCCTTATGCTTCAATGCATCTGTTCATATTCATATCAATCTCCTCCTTGCCTTAATTTGATAATTGTGCATTTGCAAGATGGGTCTGTGATTTCCTACTTCTCCATCTTCATTTTATTTCTGTAACCACAGAGAAGCCAAAATTTCAAGAGGAATATCAAGTTTCTTCTGCTTATTTATTTGGGGGTATATCTGCTGCAGTGGATTTTAGGTCAAAGTAATAATTTCTTGGTTGTTTTTAAAATAGTTTTCTGTAGGTGGCAGGAGAGTGTCACAAAAAAGAATCAACTGCTCTTCCTTTCCTTCACTCACTGTGTTGTTTTGTTTTTTTTTTTTAAACAGATTGGCATATTTCTGCTGCCATGCATATTGGGATACTCCCTTGAAATATATCTTTAAAAATATCTTTGCCAACTTGAGAAATGAAAAGAGTATTATTTTTTAAAGTGGTCTTTTAAAATTGTTAGGTTGAATTTTCTTTTGCACATTATATTGGCTGAATCCCACCCCTGCCCTCACCCCAACTTATTTTTTCCTTTGTATTGCTCATTGTCTAGTTCAGGATTTTAAAAGATAACTTACTGCTTTTTTTCATTATTATAACAATAATATATCTCATTATAAAAATTAGAAATTTTCATAATCCAAAGGAGAGAACAATACTCACAGTCTACCACAATTAAATTTTGATATAAATTGCCCAGTTCCTATGCTGTTATTTGGTGGATTTTTAGGGTTAAAATAATATATTCTATCTTGTTTTGCTTCCTAAATGTTATTATATCTTATTTTATTTTGAAGTTTTTATTTAACTTCCAGTTAGTTAACATACAGTGCCATATTAGCTTCAGGTGTAGAATTCAGGGATTCATCACATACATACACCATCCAGTGCTCATCACAACAAGGTCTCTCCTTAATACCCATCACACACTCAACCAAATTCTGCATATGAGTGAAATCATATAGTATTTATCATTCTCTGACTGACTTATTTCGCATAGCATAGTACTCTTTAGCTCCATCCACATCCTTGCAAATGGCAAGATTTCATTCTTTATTATTGCTGAGTAATATTCTATTGTATTTATATACCACTATGTTCTTTTTTTTATAGAAAGTCAATGTGCATATACGTTTATTATTATAATTATGGTCGTTAGCTGAATGAGAACAAATAACAGCTAAAAAGTTTTCAAATGACAGAAAAACACATTTGGGTAAGTTATGACACAATTTTTTGAGTATGTAGACAATAGAAATGTATTTTTTTTTTTTGCACCAATTGCAAATGCAAAGTTAACGATAAAATCAGGGAGCTGAAAGGTCAAAAGGGGCCTTAAACATATTCACTATCTTTTAAATTTTAGACAAAGGAGCTGAGAATATAGAAAACACAAACAAACAAACCCAACATTTACACCATAACAGTCTTTTTTTTTTTATGACTTCCAATTTTAACTCTTTTCTAAAAGCATTAGGGGCATTGAGACCCTTATTGTAGATTATGTATCATCTCCTCTTTGGCTATGAGGTGTGTAGTTTTGTTAACTAGAGACATCAGTGAGTTCAGTTTCTGAGACCAGTCATTTAATAAATTATTTGGATCCTTGGATCTCTGGAAGTTGATAATTCCTGCCAACCTGTCTACTTTAGCAAAGATGGTCTTGTTAACTACTAGATTCGAAAGAAAAGCTTCTGACTCATCGACAGACAAGTTGAGAAGCTGAGCCATCCTCTGCATTGTTATCCTTGTGTAATACTTGGCCATTATTCTAATATTATGTTCAACAACTCTGTTCTTCAAGTCTTTCCACCTTCTTTCACCTTCCTCTGTAGAACCAAAAACATCAGTTGCCGGACTCTCAAGAGACCCTTTTCTTAATTCCATTCCATAGTCTTCAACAAGTGTGGACCAACGCATCAGCTCCATTGTGGTAAAAAGCTTTAAAAGATCCTTGTATTTAGGAATTTCTTCTAACTTCTTGTCACCACTTATTCGGTGAACCAAATCTGACTGTTCGTTGTCAAAAGGAGCCAAAATCACATAGAGGACGACACTTTTCAGAGCCTGTTGCCACTTTTCACTTTCTGCCTGTATACAGGGAGTATCATATATTGCTCTGTAGTGCTTACAAATAGACAAATAAGATCCCTCATGTTGATCCACCTGAATCATTAAGTTATAATATTTCAATTTTAATTTCTCTGTATTTTCTTCCTGGAAAAATTTGGTGTTAATTTTCTTGCTGATGATTTGTGTACGAATGTAATCCTTCACAGCTAGGCAGAGCCTCATTTGCTCCAAGATAAACTCCACTCTCTCCTTCTTTTCCATTGACCCGTAGGTTTCCACCTGTAACTCCTGTAAAATGGAGGCGGCCTCTTTCACGTCACCGTTTTGCTCTTTTATAGTTGCTAACGTTTTCGTCAGTCGAGCACGCTCAATTTCAACATAAATCTTTCCTTCTGTAACCATTCGTAGGGTATCAATTAATCGAAGTTTGATTGGAAGGTCTGTGATTTCCTCAACGTAAGTACAGCACTGTTGAACCATTTTTGCAACAGCTTGTTTTAACTGACTCCATCTTTTTGACAAAAGCATAATATTTTCATTAAGTAAATCCCATTCTTTAGCCTCATAGCACATCTTCACTACTGCAACTAAGATGCGGGATGTAGACACCATATCAGAAGCAGTGCGGGTCTGTTTCTCCAAAGAGAGAAGGATTTCAATGACTTCTTGAAGTCTTCCTTCCTTGGCCAACTTCTCGCACTCGGGCAGTCGTTGATCCACCGTGGCGCTGTAGTCCACCTCCATCTAGACGATGCGCCCATCAGCCGGCTCCGAGCCGCCGTCCGCCATGGTCCCTGCCTGAACGTCCCTTGATGTCCCCCTGATTCGGCCACCACTCGTCACCCACATACCACTATGTTCTTTATCCACTCATCAGTCGATGGATATCTGGGCTCTTTCCCTAATTTGGCTATTGTTGATAATGCTGCTATAAAAATCAGGGTACAGAGGTGCCTGGGTGGCTCAGTTGGTTAAGCATCTGACTCCTGATTTCAGGTCATGATCTCAGGGTTGTGAGATTGAGTCCCACATCAGGCTCTACACTGAGCATGAAGCCTGCTTAAGATTCTCTCTCTCCCTCTGCCCCCCCCCATTAATCTCTTTCTTTCTTTTAAAAATAAAAAAATAATAAAATCTTTAAAAAATCAGGGTACATTTATCCCTTCAAGTAGTATTTCTGTATCTGTTGAGTAAATAGTTAGTAGTGCTATTGCTGGATCATAGTGTAGTTCAATTTTCAACTTTTTGAAGAGCTTTCATATTGTTTTCCAGAGTGGCTGCACCAGTTTGCATTCCCACAAACAGTGTAAGAGTGTTTCACTTGCTTTGCATCCTTACCAACACCTGTTTCCCATGTTGCTAATTTTAGTCATTCTGACAGGTGTGAGATGATATCTCATTGTAGTTTTAATTTGTATTTCCATAATGATGAGTGATTTTGAGCATCTTTTAATGTGTCCATCGGCCATCTGTATTTCTTCTTTGGAATAAAGTATATTCATGCTTTCTGCCCATTTTTTAACTGCATTATTTGTTTTCTGGGTGTTAAGTTTCAGCAGTTCTTTATAGATTTTGGATACTAGCCCTTTATCATATATGTAATTTGCAAATATATTCTCCCATTCTGTAGGTTGCCTTTTAGTTTTCTTGATTGTTTCCCTTGCTGTGCAAAACCTTTTTATTTTGATGTAGTTCAAATAGTTTATTTTTACTTTTGTTTCCTTTAGTTCAGAGGACCTATCTAGAAAGAACTTGCTATAACCAATGTCAAAGACATTACTGCCTGTACTCTCTGCTAGGATTATTGTGGTTTCAGGACTCATATTAAATTTTTAAATCCATTTTGAGTTTGTGTGTGTGTATGGTGTAAGAAAGTGGTCCAGTTTTATTCTTCTGTATGTTACTGTCCAGTTTTCACAACACCATTTGTTGAAGAGACTTTTTTCCCATTGAATATTCTTTCATGATTCATTGAAGAAAAATTGACCATATAGCTGTGGGTCCATTTCTGAGTTTTCTATTCTGTTCCATTGATCTATGTGTCTCTTTCTGCACTAGTACCATACTGTCTTGACCGCTAAGCTTTGCAATATAACTTGAAGTCCGGAATTGTGATGCCTCCACCTTTGCTTCTCTTTTTCAAGATTGCGTTGGCTATTTGGGGTCTTTCCGGTTCCACACAAATTTTAGGATTTTTCTAGCTCTGTGAAAAATGCTGGCAGTAATTTGATAAGGATCATTACATGTGTAGATTGCTTTGGGTTGTATAGACATTTTAACAATATTTTTTCTTCCAATTCATAAGCATGGAATGTTATTCCATTTCTTTTTGTTATGTTCAATTTCTTTCATAAGTGTTTTCTATTTTTCAGAGTACAGTTTTTTTACCTCTTTGGTTAGGTTTATTCCTATGTATCTTACAGTTTTTGGTGCGATTGTAAATCGGATTGATTCCCTGATTTTTCTTTCTGCTGCTTCACTATTTGTGTATAGAAATGCAACAGATTTCTGTACATTGATTTTTATCCTGCAGTTTGACAGAATTCATGAATCAGTTATAGCAATCTGCTTTGATGACACCCACAGCAACTGTCTGTCTCATGTCACGAACAGCAAAATGGCCCAGAGGAGGATAGTCAGAGATGCTCTCAACACACATAGGCTTGCCAGAAACCATATCAACAATGGCAGCATCACCAGATTTCAAGAACTTAGGACCATCTTCTAGCTTTTTTCCAGAATGACGATCTCTCTTCTCCTTCAGTTCAGCAAACTTGCAAGCAATGTGAGCTGTGTGACAATCCAGCACAGGTGCATATCCAGCACTGATTTGGCCTGGATGGTCCAGGATAATCACCTGAGCTGTGAAGCCAGCTGCTTCCATGGGTGGGTCATTTTTTCTGTCACCAGCTACATTGCCATGATGAACATCTTTGACAGATACATTCTTGACATTGAAGCCCACATTGTCCCCAGGAAGAGCCTCACTCAAAGCTTCATGGTGCATTTCAACAAACTTTACTTCAGTTACAACATTGAATGGAGCAAAGGTGACCACCATGCCAGGTTTAAGAACACCAGTCTCCACTCAGCCCACAGGGACAGTACCAATACCACCAATTTTGCAGACGTCCTAGAGGCAGATGCCAAGGGCTTGTCAGTTGGACGAGTTGGCAGCAGAATGCAAACCAGAGTTTCAAGCAGTGTGGTTCCACTGGCATTCCCATCTTTACGGGTGGCTTTCCATCCCTTGAAGAAAGGCATGTTAGCCCTTGGCTCCAGCATGTTGTCACCATTCCAATGAGAAATTAGCACAAATGCTACTGTGTCGGGGTTGTAGTCAATTTTCTTAATGTAGGTGCTGACTTCCTTAACAATTTCCTCCTATCTCTTCTGGCTGTAGGGTGGCTCAGTGGAATCCATTTTGTTAACATCAACAGTTAGTTGTTTTACACCCAGTGTGTAAGCCAGAAGGGCATGCTCAAGGGTCTGCCCATTCTTGGAGATACTTGCTTCAAATTCCCCAACACTAGCAGCAACAATCAGGACAGCACAGTCAGCCTAAGGCATGCCTGTAATCATGTTTTTAATAAAGTCTCTGTGTCCTGGGGTATCAATGATGGTCACATAATACTTGCTGGTCTTCAATTTCCACAGGGGGATATCAATGGTGATACCACATTCGTGTTCAGCTTTCAGTTTATCCAAGACCCAGGTATACCTGAAGGAACCTTTTCCCATTTCAGCAGCCTCCTTCTCAAAATATTCAATAGTTCTTTTGTTGATCCCACCACATTGGTAGATCAGATGACCAGTAGTGGTAGCCTTACCTGAATCTACGTGTCCAATGATGACGATGTTGATGTGAGTCTTTTCCTTTCCCACTTTGGTTTAGGTTGAGCATGGTTTTCCTGACACCTGTGTTCTGGCAGCAAACCCATTACGAAAAAACATATTTTGCAAATTTAATTACAATATGTCATGGTATTGGCCTTCTTTTGTTGATTTTGATGGGAATTCTCTGTAACTCCTGGATTTCAACGTCTATTTCCTTACCCAGATTAGGGAAGTCTTCAGCTATTGTTTCCTCAAATAAACCTTCTGCCCCCTTTAGTCTCTCTTCTTCTGGGATTCCTATAATACAAATGTTATTATGTTTGATGGAGTCACTGAGTTCCCTATGTTTATTGGCATGTTCCATGACAATTTCTTTCTTTTGTTCAGCTTCTTTATTTTCCAGGATTTTATCTTCTATATCACTTATTTTCCCTCTGCTTCTTCCATCCTTGTGGTAGTTACATCCAATCTATTTTGAATCTCAGTTATTATATTTTTCTATTCTGACTGTTTTTTAACTCTTTTTTCTCTGCAGTATGGGTCTCCCTGATGTCTTCTTTGCTCTTCTGTAGCCAAGCAAATATCCTTATGATTTTTGCTTAAAATTCTCCATCAGGCATGTTACTTTTATCTGTTTTGCTTAGATCTCTGGCTGTGACCTTTTCTTATTATTTCTTTTGGGATTAATTATTCCATCTTGGTATTTTGTCTAAGTCCTTGTCCTCTTGTGTGTGTTAGAAAAGCCTCTTATCTTTCCTGCTCCTGAGAGTAATTGCTTTATGAAGAAGAGCCATATAGTGTCCAGGGAGGGCCTGGTGCTTCAGGGTTTTCTCTGGTGTATGCTGCATGCATTCTCCTGCTGTGCTTTGGTTGCTCTATCCTTCAGGCCAGTGGTCTCCAGAAGCTCTCCTTGCCTGCAGTGGGCAGTGTTTGGATCTTGGCCAGAATGTGGTGAGTTTTAACTAGATGTGCTCTGGTCTGCTTGTTAAATGAGCCCTGCTGCTACTTCCACTAGAACTGAAGCTTTGCAGAAGTTTCTGGTGGGAGACATAGTGTGGGAAGGGGTTTCTGCTGGTCTTCTGGAGAAGGAGCCTGATGCAGTGGGACTGAGGCCCACTTGTCAGTGAATGGTAGTACCAGCAGAGCCCAGAGGGCAGGATTTGTTGTAAGCAGGTTAGGCAGCCAGTGTTAGCACTGTGTCTTTTTATGCTTATGCTGAAGGGTGAGGGAGGAAATGGTGCCAGCCAGCTTCTTTGTCCCCGGAAAGGTGTCGCCATGCTTTGCTGTTCTCAGGGAAGCACTCCCAGAAGAATGAATGTCTTTCTTTTATGTCCCAGAAAAGGCAGGCACTATTTCAGATTGCTGTTTTTGAGCTGTCTTTCTCTGGGTTGCTTGCCTGCCTATAGCAGTGCAGTTCACTTTGGGTTTTATCTTAGCCAAGCCTGCTGACTTTTAAAACTCCAAACTTCAGGGACACACTTTGGCAGGGGCTTGCACTGGCTGGTTATCTGGGGTAGGGTCTAGCTGCTCTGGAATGAATGAAGCTTTGACTAAAAAGAACAGTCACAGTAGAGCACAAGGTCATGGGATTTGGAGCAAAGCAGGCTAAATAGCCAGTGTATGGGTTAGCCACCTTTAGCAGGTTTTCTGTATGCTCAAGGTCAGGAGAGGGAAGGGAAATGGTGACCATTGGCTCCTTTGTCCCCAGAGAGGTGTCTCTGTGAATGCCACCTCTCACAAATGCACTTCAAGAAGGGTTAACAGTCTCTCCTTGTGTGCCTTAGGCAATCCTCAGATTGCTCCATCTGCCCTAGGGTTTTTTGCTTGCCTTTTCTCCAGGAGTAGGGCAATGCCCTCTGGGGTCTATCCTAGCCAAGCCCACCGACCTTTAAAACTCCTGTCTTTGAGACTCACTGGTTGCAAAAACTGACAAAAATCGGCCCCTCTCCTTTGCCCAGCCAATGGCTTTGGGGAAATGTTCTCCTTGTGCATATCCCTGTGCGTT